TTTTTTTTTTTTTTTTTTGATACAGGATCTAGTTATGCAGTTCAGGCTGGACTTGAGCTCACACTGTAACCCAGGCTGGCCTCGAAATTGCAGCGATCCCCCTGCCTCAGCCTCCCAAGGGCTGGGCATGTGCCACCGCATCTGGGTTAAGTGGATATTTTTAACTTTAGGGAACATTTTAAGAACCTTCCTTGATGGGCAGAGTGGTGCATCACAGAATTGAGAGCTCACCATCTACCACAGCTACAGTTCCACTTCTAGCTTTTATTTTCAGTTTTCTCAAGGCAGGATCTTGCTATATATTCCAGGGTGGCCTCAAATAATCCTGCTACAGGCTTCAGAGCACTTGGGACTTGGGGGATCCTCCACCATGCCCTACTCACGCTTTTAGGTAAAGGTACAGCAAGGCACCCAAGTCAACACGTATAGCTGTAACTTTCTTTTACTGGCTATGTAACATGTCCCACAGCGCAGGAAATATCAGCAGTTTGGCAGTGTGTATTTACGTTCTTTCCAGCTTTGGCCACCAGAAACAGCAATACTCTATGCTGCAGCTGTATATGGGAGACTGATTTAAGGGTGGGGCTGTTGTTCTTTTATATAAGATGCAAGACCATTTCAAAAACAAGACAAAAATTCAAATTTCCATAAAGTGAGAACTGAATAGATGAAATTACTATAATTATAATAACACGAGTAATAATTTTTTTTTTTTTTGAGCTGGCTCAGGATGCCTTCTGGGCAGGTCTGGTAAGGCTTGAGGATCCGGAGATCGAACCACAGCATCCTGATTGCTTTGTTTAAGCAGTCACTTAAACAACTGAGCTAATGGGCAGGCCCTCACAATAAGTTTGACAACAAAGAAAAAATCAGTTAATTGGAGGCTTAACTGTTAAGGCCATATCACAATAAAAGCAAGTGAGCCAGGAAGATAGCTCAGCTGGCTAAGCACCTGCCTGGCAAGCACAAGGACCCGGGTTCGATCCCCAATATTGCATGCCATGCTGCCCCCGCACAGAACCAGCCACCAAAACCAGGCATGGTGGTGCACCCCTGTAATTCCAGCACTGGGGAAGCTGAGACAGAGGGTCACTACAAGTCCAAGCTGTGCAGCGAGACCTTGTACCAAATAAAGGTTTTTTTTTAAAGTTTAAAAAAAAAAAAAAAGCAAATAAGACTATAAAAATTAGATCCAATTACAGATACATACTCCAAAAAGCTATCAAAAGACTAAAAATAGAACACATACTATGGAACTACTGGAGATATAGCCAAGGGGCAGCCAATCCGTGTATCACAGAGATATCTGGCCTCTCAATTTATTGGCACACTATCAACAATCCCAAGATCCCAATCAGTGTGGGTGTCCAACAACGGATAAACAGATGAAAAAATGTGTGCATGCACAGTGGAGTATTATTCACCTGGAAAAATGTAGGAAATCCTCTCATTCACAACATGGATGGAAAGGAGTGGGGTGTTTTGCTAAACAAAATAAACCAAACACAGAAGGGAAATGATGCATAATCTTGCTCCTATATAAAATTTTTAAGGGGCTGGGGAGATGGCTCAGTGGAATAAGCGCTTCCCTGGCAAGCGCAAGGACCTGAGCTCAATACCCCGGTTCCACCAAAAAAAAACAAACAAACAAACAAAAAACTTTTAAAAAGTTGAATTCCTGAAAGTAGAACAGTAATCACTAGAGGCCATCAGGAAGAGCAGGAATGAAATGGGCCAAAATACAATTAGAAAGAATAAATTACAATGGTTTACAGCACAGTAGGGTTACTAGTTCACTATTTATTGCCTTTTTGTTTTTTGTTGTTTTCTGTATTTTAGGGAAGGGTCTACAGGGTGTTCAGGGTCTCACTACTAGATCAGACTCGTTGTGATCCGCCTGTTTACAGCCTCCCAAGAGCTGGGATTATAGGTGGGCGCCACCACATCCAGTCTCAATTGCCCCGGGGGGTGGGGCCTTTAATCTGCTGAGCTATTTGGCCAGCCCTTATTGCCTATTTTATACATAACTAGAAAAGCTGGGCACAATGGCAAATGCCTGTAATTCCAACACTCTGGGAGGCTGAGGCAGGAGGACAAGTTCAAACCCAGATTGGACAATTTAGAGATGTAGCCAGACTGTATTAAAATAAAAAATAAAAATAAAAGGGGGCTGGGTTGTAGCTCAGCGCAAAGTCCCTCGGTTCAATCCCAGAAAAACAAAACTAGAAAGGAATTCGAAGGTTCCCAATCAATGATAAATATTTAAGAAAACAGAAATGCTACTTATCCTGATTTGGTCTCTATAGACTGTATCCATGTATCACAGTATACGCCACAAAACAATTATTTGATGGGGTGGAAGTAGTAGGGATAGAACCACGGCCTCCACACCGAGCTACCGTATATTCCTTAATTTTTTGAGATGCGGTCTCGTTCTGTCGCCCAAGCTGGGTTCGAATTTGCGATCCTCCTGCCTCAGCCTCCCTCAGGGCTGGGATGACAAGGTCCGCACGCGCCACTGCGCTCAACTACGATTATGCATTTTTTTGAATGTAAATATCCTGCGCTCGTTTGGGCGGCACATATAACAAAAACAGCCAAGCACCGACGCCTGGGTCGGCCCGAGCTCCCACGGGATGTCTGCAACTGGAGGTCCGCAGAGCTCATCAACACCTTACTCAGACCAGCTGAGCGCCCAAAAAGCCCTGAACAGAAACGCTGGTCCCGAGCCCCGGGTGTGTCACCTGCAGGTCCTAATCCAGGATTACCAGAGACGTCAACAAACCAGCGGCACTTGCCTCCCTTCCAAACCCAAAGAGAAGGATCAGACGGGGCCGGGAGGGAGCTGCCTCGTTCCAGCGCGCGGAGCGAACGGGTTCTGGAACGCGACGCTAGCCCGGGCCGGCCGTCCCGCCAGCCCGCCGCCCTACCTGCCCAATCACGCCCCACCGGCAGCAGACGTTCTAAAGAATCCCAGCACTCACCATCGCCATCTTGACTCCGCCCACCACGCACACCCGGAAGTCAACGTTGCCTAGGCGACAGCCAACCGGAAGTCAGGGGGAGGAGCGTGGAAAGGAGTCTGCGCAAAGCTGGTAGTGGCTCTCCAAACACGAGAATGCGGCTGCGAAGCAGAACGAGTTGGAGAGTGCCGCAGCGCAAAATTTGCTCCTTTTGGGTCGTAGGCCCTGGAGTTCCGATGCGCCTTTGTAGAGACTTGCCCTGGTCTCACTCCAAGCTGCCTTTATCCTACTTTGGGGAATCTTGATTTCAAAATAAAGTCGTGGGCTGGAGAGATGGTTCAGTAGAGTAAGTGCTTGCCTGGCAAGTGCAAGGCCTGAGTTCAATCCCCGGTTCCACACAAAAAAAAAAAAAAAAAAAAAAAAACCACACCTGGTAAGGAAAATAAAGGGGCCGGGGAGATGGCTCAGTGGAATAAGCGCTTCCCTGGCAAGCGCAAGGGCCTGAGTTCAATTCCCGGTTCCGCAAAAAGAAAATAAAATAAAGTCGTGAGATTTCAGAAACATAAGCCCGCCATCCTGCAGAGGAGTAAACTAGATTCCCAAAGCGATTGCAACCGCTGATAATAAGCACGTCTCCGCCTCCGTCCACTGCCCTAACCTCTCAGGTGGTTAGCCTCACACAGCTGGTCGGGGAGTTAGTGCTTATTCTGTTCCCTGGAAAGACTATAGGCTTTAGAATCCTACAATGCTAAGTCATTTCTCTGAGCCTCATTCTAGCGTCCTCATTCTAGTAAGGGATGAACAAAGCCCGGCTCTCTCCTCCTGGATCAACGACCTTAGAGGGGAGCGAGTCAGGGATTAAATAACGGTTCTGAAGAAACACGTCACTAAGTACAAATAGCGCTTAAACATGTAAACATAAAACGGCAAGGAAGAAAAAAACTTGCCCATCCATATTTCCAGGAGATACTTACCATTGTTAGGTTGGCAAAGAACGAAAATTTTCCTTGATAAAAGTTGTAATTGGACACATGCATTCTTGATCGCTAGTAAATATGTGATTTGATAAGGTTACATTGAAAGTTTGGCACTAGGACCCAGGAGGTGGCTCAGTGGCATAAGTGCCTGGCTGGCAGTCACCGGCCCAAGCCTGTAATCCCAGCGCCCTGGGGAGGCTGAGACAGGGGGATCATTTCGAGTCCAAGCTGC